GTGGTAATTGACCCACTAAAGTTTGTAATGGATCCATCGCTAGAAAAAAATTGGAGCGAAACGGGGCTGTTTGACTATTACGTACTAAAGCTTCTAGATGATATTCAACCCCAAAGTTTTAAAGAAAAAAATAATCCAGATGCACCAGCCAGAATTCGACTCAATACCTTCCGTAGGACCAGCAGCAGCACCAATTGTGGCATCAGTACCACCAATTGTGGCATCAGTACCAGTACCAGCACCAATTCTTGCACTAGCTCGAGCACCGATTCCACCACCATTGCAGCAGATGCTCTAATGCCTGAAACCAAACAGATACCATTGATACTGACGTTAGCACAAGACGGAGCGTCAGTATACATGCACATACCATCTCAAAACAAATCAGTCATCAATTCAATTACAAAACCAAAATTTGCTGATAAACCGACTTACAATTTGCCGTGAAGATTCAACTGCATTAATAAACTGCTTCTATAAAACCGGATAACGCAATTTGCGATACAATTCTGTTTCGACAAATTAAAAAAGTAGAGTTTTCAGCGCATTTAGCGAAGTTTTCGAGAAAACTAACAACAACATCTTTATTTACGTGTAACTCACAAACGACGATGATGTTTAAGAAAACTCCAGCATGCATTTGACGACAATTATGTTACAAAAGCAGTCAAAACCCGTTTTTCGAAAAAAATATTAAAAATCAAGATTTTATAATATCAATTTGCCCAGAAAAAGTCACTGCCGAGACTTCTCACTGACTTTACACCCAAGGCAAGCAATCTGGACTTGCTATTCGATCAGCACTTAAATTAAAATTAAAGTCGCTACAAAAACACCTGAAAAATCAAATTTCCATCCGCCATAACTTTTAAAGCAAAAACTTCGCAGAAGACAAGATTAGCTTGTCGATCCTTTCGTGTCTGTCTATACCTGTTTGGCTGTATGATTATCACATTTTTTAATGTACCCCAGTACAGACCACTTTCTAAAACCGAAGAACAATATTCGATAGGTTCCATAAAACATGGCTCGCTCTGAACCCTAACTATCCCAAGTTGCCCTAGAGCTATGGTAAGGTATACCACACAGTTTGTTGCATAAAATAGTAAGCACTCATGAAAAAACGGAAAAAAATATATGGCCACAGAAAAAACGATCGCAAAAGTCTGCAAAAATAAATGAAAACCGTTAGTTGACTAGTACCCAGCAACCCTATTGCTCGGAAAAGCTATCAATCACAGTGACAATAAAAAAAGCTCTTACAGCAAAATAAAAAAATTGAAGAAAGGCAAAATGAGCGAAAAAAAAAGAAGTAGGAAGTTTTCCTGTTGAGAAATTTTTTTATGGCAAAATCTACATTTACGATTCTTTTATCAGGCGTCAATCTCTTTTCAGAGCTCATGAAGAACCCATTATTACTGGAGAAAGCGTCATAACTAAAGTTAGCGTAACAAAAAACCTTTAAGATAAAATGTACAAAAAAAAGAAAACAACCTTCCTCATAGCGATCAAAAGCTATTCGGAAACTGGTTCAATGGGCGTTCAATTAGAGCTTTGAAGAAGCTGCAGAACTATCTGACTGTCAATCAAACGAAGCTAAGCCAAAGGAGGCTGCGAAATTTGTTTTTGATACTCAAAAATATCAAAACGACAATTAAAGTGGAGTGAACGACATGATGTTCCGTAGTCATCTGAAAGTTATCGGCTCATATAAATTCAAATACCTTTCTATCAGAAGCTTGCGCAATTGCGAACAAACAGCCAACATCGCCAATACTACATGAGTCTGCTCTCACAATTGAGAGTCCCACAAAAAATGTTTTGCAGAAACACGCAAAAATATATATATAAAAATGTAGATCTCTAACTCATTGAAACCCGGAGCCGAAGTGCTCTTTCAGCAAGTAAGGCTCGAATGAGGCGCGAAATGCAAATTACAAATTGCTTTTACAGAAGAAAAAAAAACTGGTTACTTGCGGCAAAAACAAATTGCGCTAAATTCGGCTAAAACATTACAAAATTAATTTGTTGGAAACAAATTTGCTAGCAAATGAAGATACTACCTCGATAAATACGCCTCACTGAGGAACAAAACTCCAAAACACAGAAACAATTAAGGAAAATGATCTGCTACAAAAACAGGACAAAGAAGCTCGGGTAGCTTTTAATAACGACTTTTTGCTGAGCAAGTTAAGTTACACTTGCTAATATAATTTCATCATAATCCCTTTTGATGCCATAAAGCTAACATTAAAACATGATTTCATCATTAATCGCTTTTTTCCATAACACAAATCAAAGTGGCTTAACAAAAACTTCTCCTATGAACCATTACGATGCATGCGATTCTTTTTGCTCGAAGATGTTTCTATAAACTTGCTTCAAAAATTATAGCCCTGAACCCTAGTGTCAGTATACTATGAAAAAGGCAGTAAACTTTATCAAATTTGATTTTTTTTTTTACCTGAATCATTGTAATTTTATTCAGTTGAAAAACTCAAGATGAGAGGTTGTATGACGTCCCTGCCTCACGTCATGCATTCAAAATTAGCTATTTCAATTAAAAAAATGATATTGTAATTCACCTTAGCATTAAACTGGAGCTTTAACTTACAGTTACGTTACTATGTAAACATAGTTAATTGATTCTACCACCCTCTGAAAGATTAAACCGATCTGTATTACAACCGGTCAAAAATCGAGAAAAACAAATATTCCGATTATTTTTTGACTAGCTCCGATCGATCACATAAAATGTAGAGGAAAAGGTCCGATTCAAGCATCCCTCAGTTTAAGATATGCCTTACCGCTCGAAACATATTAAATCAAAAATAAACACTGATAGCTTGTAGCTTTGATAAATAAAATAACAGCTAAGGAACAGCCTACAGGGGAAACTATATCAGAGAGAAACTTTCCCCATAGAAAAAAATCACTGATAATCACAATGAATTGTGAACTATCTACGTAAACAACCTCATATATTGACGAAAATTAAAATAATTGATCAGATAGCTGGAAAAGAGAACTTAGCAAACCGCCACTTTTTTGAACACTGTTCAACTATTGTACTCGACAGGAAAAACCGCATTCTTCTTAAACTCCTTAAAAGGTGAAAAATACAAATATACATTTTTCGGTTTCCGGCTTTTCATTGAGCTTCCGTGAAATGAAAGTGTTGCCTCAATTCTTTTGTTTTCATGAAGTTATGGATTATATCCGAATCAATGGCGCAAAAATGATTCAAACTTTCTATCGAAAACGTTTTTGAAAGGATTGGTCTCATGAAAGGAAGGGCGTTAATACGATACCTACAATCTAAGATTTGAACCCGAGCTGTTTTGTTTTCTGAAGCACTTTTAAAGCAGAACTCGTTCGAAAAAAAAGCTGATAGGCATGACATGGAAGCAAAAATCAAACTATTTTAAAAACTATAGAAAATGGAGATTAACAAATCCGCGCGCCTAAATTCCCTATATCATTGTTCTAGTAATTTCGCAAAGAAAAAAATATGAACAGGTCAATTAAGTGAGTATTTTGCAGTTTCCGATGCGCAGGCTTTGCACAAATTTGCGAGCTGTCAGAACCATAAAACTTACGCTCGACACAGCGGACATTATAATACACTACGCTTCGGTAGAGCAGCCACGACTTGATCCAGCAACTCAATCGGATAAAAATTCAGGAAAAAATTTCTCGGCTGAAGTACGAAAACAGCAATTGAACATAACTTTTGTCTATAACTAGCAAGTTTTTCTCCAGTAATCAATCAGCTCGCAAAAAATAGTTGCTGTTCTGATCAAGCTACAAAACTTCGAAATCTCAAGCTGAGCCAGATCGTAAATCGGTTTGAAAACTTTACGTATCATAGAACGAATCAGTTCTCAAAAAAAGAAACTTAATCTGAGCAAGCTACGAAACCTTAAATAATTCAACTTAATTTCGTGAAGCGAATCGGAGTCCAAAAAGTTTTTCTAAGCAAGCTGTGCAAGTTATCAAAAATCAAAATTTCAAGTAATTTCATGGGTTGAATTGGTTGGCAAAAACACTCCCGCTATACTGAAGCAAGTTAATGAAGCTATAAACAATTGAAAAATTTCGAATTGTTTAGATCAAAACTTTTTAGGAAAAATTAGTTTTTTTTAAGCGCGCTAATGGAGCGAGCTAATAGAGCGAATCAGTTCGAAAAATAAATCAAAATTCACTTAATCAAGCTATTGTAGCTAAAAAATGATATATTTACAAGTTATTTATTAGAAGGAAACGTCTTGCGAAAATAAGTTTTTCTGCGCGAGCTACTCCTGTGCGAGAAAAAGTCCAAGCGGTTCGTAGACCGAATAGTTTCACCAAAAGTTACTTTTCTAAGCAAGCTTTTGAAGCTACGAAACTTTGAAATATTTCAATTTAGTTCATAGAATGAATCAGTTCATGAAACAATTAAGTTCTTCTAGGCAAACTTTCTCAGCTCGAAATTTTGATATAATTCAACTTTTCTATAGACCGAATCAGTTTACGAAAAGCTTAAAGTTTTCTAAGCAAGCTATGAAGCTTTGAAAATTTTGAAGTTATTCCGTGAACCGAAGCGGTACGCGAAAAGTTTCAGTTTTTCTAAGCAAGCTTTATAGTTATAAAACTTTGAATGATAAAGCTATGAAACTTTGAAATGTTTATATTTATTTCATGGACCGCATCGGTTTTCGAAAAAAAAAGGTTTTTTTTTCAGCATGGAGGTTGCTGTCTTCAGTTTATTCGTTTCAGAATGAATTAGTAAACGAAAAATTTTGGACAAAAATAGGCAAGTACTGCCTAGCCTTGAAGTAGGATCGAGTTCATCTTTCTCTGATGGTTGCTTTGAATGATTATTAAACGTTCTGCTCGATAGAAAAGTTAAAACGTTGCGTCCATAGCGCATTAAGACTTTCATTTAAAATATAAGAGTATTCTCTGAAAACCAATACTCAAGGATAAATTATAAAATGATTATTTAACAGCATGAGCAGTGTCACAAGAGCAATAACAAACATAAATTTATAACACCAAAACATTTCTAAGTATATTTCTCATTTATTCAAAATCAAAATCAACGGTTTTTATTGCACAGCACAGAACAAGTCTTTTTCGGAATTTATTTTTTCAATCAGAAGCGTACTTAACAGCGAACACTTCGAACTCATGCGTCCTGCGCAAGTTCATATTCTCTCTCTCCAGAGCGTTTTGCGGTGCAACGAAAACGTCAAGGCCTCGATCCAGCGAGACCTTCCATTTGCGTCCGAACCGAATCCAGGGCTTCTTGTTCAGGTCTAGATTGACGCAGAAGAACTCAAATTTGATGCCAAGAGGTTTCACTCCCCTCTGCAATGCCGCTAAATCGTGCAGCACTTGGGATTTGGTCACCGTTCTTGGACTCGTTTCTAAGATGGCCTTCTTGATTTTGGTCCTGTTGTGCAGTAAGTTGATGAAGCGGGCGAGGTTGTGCGTATGATGGGGAAAGATAAAGTTCGGGTCATAAATGTAGACAAAATCCATCTGCGGGTAAATGAACTCCTTGAACAAGTTTCTGTAAGCCAAGTTGGTACTTCCGGCTGAAATTTCAAATCCGCATTTAAAGCTTGGCGAATTAATTGTTATTGCTTCTAAGGACAGTACAACAACCCGTAATAATTATTGCTTCTAGGCCAGTACAAAAACAATCCGTATTAATTATTGCTTCAAGGACAACAATCATCCGTATTAATTATTGCTCCAGTACAACAACCCGTAATAATTATTGCTTCTAGGCCAGTACAAAAAAATCCGTAATAATTATTGCTTCTCAGCCAGTAAAAAAACAATCCGTAATAACTACTGATAACGATCTGCCAATAATAACCCTGTTTCACTAAAGCCTTATATACTTGGCGACTTGGTCACACATTAATGAATATCATAATCTTCTGGGAAAACTTAGGGTTTCTAAGACATTAAAAACTCGAATTACTCACACTTGATCTTGTACTCGACATACTCATCGACCTCGTAGAAATCATTCTCAGCATCCTCCGCTGTGAACTCACACTTAGCCTTTAATTCATAATAGTCGATGTCTGAGGGTCCCATTGACATCTCATCTGCCAGTCGCTTAAAGCCGCGATGATTCTCCATTGCACTGCCATACTGCCCACGAATATCACCAAGCTTCGCATGAACTCCGGAACCGGAATACATTTCTGCCGACGACTGCAGGTATCCCGTTGTCAAATCTTTGGCGAATTGCCGTTTTGGGATCACAGTGCCCGACATCAAAGTCGGTGAAATTCCTGAGTGCTCCGAGCGATGTTCAAACTCCGCTCCCAGTCCGTAACGCGTGTCAATGTACGGTGGCAAGGAAGATTCCAAGAGCAGATTGTTGCGCATTTTCAGCATTCGCAGTTCTTCCAAATCACGCAGTTGTTGCAAGTTATTGTCAACCTCTTTAAACTTGCGGTTCACTACGAGCTTCTCGCGCGCATCAATTGTTCCCGATAAATCGCTGTTCAAGCTCCCATGAGAACTGTAAGCCGAGCCACTTTCCGATTTAGGAAGACGGTGTTTCAGCTTCCTTGTGCTCAAAAATTTGCCACTCATATTTAACTTCAAATTAAAAATAGTTCCAAGAATGAGAAAACAAATTGATTAATGTTAACTAAACTTTTAAGGATCTTTTCTTGATTTTTCAATGATCTTCCAGTGATAATTACAACGCAACTTTCAATGACTAAAGGTGTATAAAATTCAAGAAAGAAAATAATATAAATTGAGCTGTGGTTTCTAAAAAAAATTCAGGCAATAATTAGGAATTAGGTCAATTTCGAAAAAATATGCAACCGAACTATGGCAGATCCTGATATAATTAGTAGCAAAAAGTTCGGACAGACAGAATTAATTAAAATGAGCAAACAGTGCTTTTCGACGTTTTTTTGCATGCAAAATCTGAAGCCGGACAACCTTGAATTTTTTGTCAGACCAAATTCGAAATGCGAGATTGTCGGTTATCCGATGATTATGCTAGCCTAATTATTGAATACTGCGATGAACAACCAGATTTTACTATAAAACAGCTCGACGCTTCGGATGCAATTGCCCGCCGTGGTTATAGATTTTGAGCGAAACTCGGATCTACTTAACAATCTCCTCCCCTTTCTTGAAAGTGGGGATTGTTAAGTAGATCCCGTAATTCTGCTTTATGAACTTTCGATGTTATGTTTATTTCAGTTTTAATTTCAGTTGATGTCTAGACAGTTGCTCTTTTTAATTATTTCTGTCTGTCCGAACTTTTTGCAACTCTCTATACAACAAAATGAACAATGAGCAAAATATCGAGATAATTATCAGCACTTTATGCGCGACCTTGACATTTGTTCAGAGCCTCTTGCAGTAACTTGTCATTATCGGTGACCTTGGACGCATTCAACCATTATATTCAATGCCAAAATGTTGGAAAATCCTTTTAGGCCACCGAATCGTGAGCGAATTAACTAAACTAAAAATGCTCATTTTGTCGTCTGAAATCAATGTTCTAATCACTTCAACCGTAAAACAGTGTAAAAAACATTTAAAAACCTATAACAACCGTTTTTGAAGGTTTAAATTGCTCAAGGTCACCGACAGTGCAAACAACTTGCCCTTAAATATAATTCAAGTTAGCGTAAAGTTTGATCTAGAGCTGCAAAATGTTGCAGCAGAAAAAGAATAATTAAAAAGAGCAATATATATATAATTAGTAGCAAAAAAATCCGACAGACAAAAATAATTAAAAAGAGCAGCAAATGACCCTTTTCAGACAATTCTTGCATGCAAACGCTAATTTTTTAGACAAACTATAATTATAGAGAGTTGCAAAAAGTTCGGACAGACAGAAATAATTAAAAAGAGCAATCGTACCATTTTGACAGATTTTTGCATGCAATTTCGTTTTTCATACAACCTTGAGACACAAAATCGGACTGAAAAATTAGATTTTGCATGCAAAATATTTCCAAAATAGGTCAATTGCTCTTTTTAATTAATTTTGTCTGTCCGAACTTTTTGCTACTAATTATAGTAGCAAAAAGTTCGGACAGACAGAATTAAGTAAAATGAGCATTCAGTGCTTTTCGACGTTTTTGTTCATGCAAAATCTGAAGCCGAGCAATCTTGATTTTTTTTGTCAGACCAAGTTCAAAATGCGAGATCGTCGATTATTCGAGGATTATGCTAGCCTAATTTTTAAATACTGCGATAAACATCCAGATTTTACTAAAAATTAGTTGGCAAAATTAGTTGAAAAAACGAAATCTAGAGTTATTTTCAACAAAAAAAAACAGACTAGGCTGCCCCAAAAAAAACTAATGGCAGTGAAGATGATCAAATCATTCAAAAATTGGAAACTAATCGCAGAAAAACATTAGCCACTCTGATCAATAATTTTCTTGTTTCGAGGTTTACTGTTCGACGCTTCGGATGCAATTGCCCGACATAGTTATAAGTTTCGAGCAAAACTCTGCTTTATGAACTTTCGACGTTATGTTTTTTTTTTTCAATTTTATATTCCGTTGATCTCAAGACAGTTGCTCTTTTTAATTTATTCTCTCTGTCCGAACTTTTTGCAACTCTCTATATGTCTCAATGTGGGGGCTAGTCTCATGCGCGAAGGACCGAATGGGCAAAAAAACTTGAAGGCCAAGGACCGAAGACAAAATTAGCCGAAAGTCAATTTTTAAACAGAAACAATCGCCATTCAATTAAAATGAATTAAATGAAGCAATATTTTGCTTCTTTCATAACGAAACCCTAGAAATATAAAATTTGTCCCAATTTTGCGGCGGTCAATGACAATTTGACAATTTTGCATATTTCTGCAGTTTTTATATTCGGCCAATATCAATACTCCAGTCCCTGGAAATGTTTACTTTCTTTCCAAAATTTAGATTACTGAAATCTGATTGGCTAGTTTTTGTTTTCGCGCATTTGGTCCTTCGCGTATGAGGGATTCCACCTCTCAATGTCACCTAAAAATTCAAATTTGCATGCAAAAAATGCTCAAAACTGGCAGATTGCTCTTTTTAAATATTTTTGTCTGTCCGAACTTTTTGCAACTCTCTGTAGAGAGTTGCAAAAAGTTCGTACAGACAGAATTAATTAAAAAGAGCAACTGTCTAGACATCAACGGAAATTGGAACTGAAATAAACATAACATCGAAAGTTCATAAAGCAGAATTTCGGGATCTATTTAACAATTCCCACTTTCAAGTAAGTGGAGGAGATTGTTAATTTAGATTACTTGCAGCGAACTTTCGACCAATCAGAATGCAGGAAAATTCGAATTTACATTCAATGCTCTAATGCGGTATTTATGCTAAAATTTACACGGGTCTCAATGTGGGGGCTAGTCTCATGCGCGAAGGACCGAATGGGCAAAAAAACTTGAAGGCCAAGGACCGAAGACAAAATTAGCCGAAAGTCAATTTTTAAACAGAAACAATCGCCATTCAATTAAAATGAATTATATGAAGCAATATTTTGCTTCTTTCATAACGAAACCCTAGAAATATAAAATTTGTCCCAATTTTGCGGCGGTCAATGACAATTTGAAAATTTTGCATATTTCTGCAGTTTTTATATTCGGCCAATATCAATACTCCAGTCCCTGGAAATGTTTACTTTCTTTCCAAAATTTAGATTACTGAAATCTGATTGGCTAGTTTTTGTTTTCGCGCATTTGGTCCTTCGCGTATGAGGGATTCCACCTCTCAATGTCACCTAAAAATTCAAATTTGCATGCAAAAAATGCTCAAAACTGGCAGATTGCTCTTTTTAAATATTTTTGTCTGTCCGAACTTTTTGCAACTCTCTATAGAGAAGTGCAAAAAGTTCGTACAGACAGAATTAATTAAAAAGAGCAACTGTCTAGACATCAACGGAAATTGGAACTGAAATAAACATAACATCGAAAGTTCATAAAGCAGAATTTCGGGATCTATTTAACAATTCCCACTTTCAAGTAAGTGGAGGAGATTTTTAATTAGATTACTTGCAGCGAACTTTCGACCAATCAGAATGCAGGAAAATTCGAACTTACATACAATGCTCTAATGCGGTATTTATGCTAAAATTTACACGGGTGGATTTATTCAGTAAATACAACAGGGCGGAGGAGATTGTTAAGTAGATCCGGGTTTCGCTCAAAAACTATAACCACGGCGGGCAATTGCATCCAAAGCATCGAACTGTTTTATAGTAAAATCTGGATGTTCATCGCAAAATTTAAAAATTAGGCTCGCATAATCAGATAATCGACTATTTCGCATTTTGAATTCGGTCTGACAAAAAATTCAAGGTTGTTCGGCTTCAGATTTTGCATGCAAAAAGCGTCGAAATTAATTGATTGCTCACTTTGATTAAATCTGTCTGTCCGAACTTTTTGCTATTAATTATATATAATGAGCATGGAATTTCTATGTTTGAGACAACCTTGAGACTCAAATTCAGTCTTAAAAGTTAGACTTTGCATGCAAAATGTTGGCAAATTGCCATTTTAACTAATTCTGTGTCCGATTTCGCCTAAAAGTTCATTATTGCACGCTAAAGTAGCTCAAAAAAACGGTAGATTGCTCATTTGAATTATTTCTGTCTGTTCCAACGTTTTGCAATTTATTATACCGAGTTTCAACAAAATTTGCATGCAAATTTGAATTTTAAGGCGCCTTGAATCAACTTGTCCAAAAAATTAGCTTCAGCATATAATGAAAAGACTGCTCGTATCAGAGCGAAGCCCTGAATTTTCCGACTGCCTTTTAAGATCTATGGAGCAGTAAAAACATGAAAAAATTAAATGATGTAAGACAAAAAAAGGTTTTTTTTTTAATTGACTTTTTTGTGAAAACCATCCCCCCACCCGCCATACAAAGTAATAGATTTAGCTCTTAGTAACAAATCAATTAAGGCAAATAAGCTTCCTTCAACCAACTTAGAACGATTTCTAAGACGGATTAAATCTCCGCTTACGCGTTCATAGCGCGAAATATATATCGCGTGTTATTTGTCCCTAATTGGCCAAACTGGCAATGTTTAAAGACCCATTACTTTACAAAAAATTATAACAGGTGAAATATCTTTTCAAATCTAGGCTCAGGACATCAATAACATGCGAATGACAAAAAAAAATCGTCAAAAATGGCTAGTTACAAAGTCTTTTTTTTGTAATTTGTCTGAAGAAAAAAACCACCCCGACCACAAATATTCCGTTACTTTCGTTTCGAAAGTCGGAACAATAAGATGCAACAAGACTGCTCGTATATCAAGCCAAAGCCCTGAATGTTCCGATTGTCACCTTAATTGATATGGAATAGTTTTTAGGAAAAGAAAAGAATGAAAACCTATAAATTTTAGACAACATCAAAGTGTGAAACTTTGAGTCGTACGAAATTAATACGACTGATTAGCTAGTCTCAATTCAATTTGGAAGTCTCAATTCAATTTGGAACAATTTTGTTGTCCGGGATAGTTTGCCACGCGTAAAAAATTTGCGGGACGCTCTCAGCAGAATGAATAAACTTTTCAAAATGCGCATAATTTACTCCAGAACATGGCCAGTGCGGCAATTTTCAAACCCCAGAACTTTCTAAACAATAATCGGAGGTATAATATTTTTATTAAAGTTGAACTCAAGAAATCGATATCTTCAATGGGGTAAAAAAAAATTTTTGTTGAAAACAAATATTTCCATCGGCGAAAATTGACCGAATAAAAAAACCACACCGAGCCTAGATATGTCGTTTTCTGCGAATCACCGTCATTAGGTTGAGAAATTCAAATTTGATGAAACAAATAGTGAAACAAAAATATTGAAAGCTAGCGTTGCGAAAATAGGAAAAATGAAGCACTTGCGCTCAAACCGATTTTAAAACGTCGACTTGAGTTAAAATTTTAACCTTTGCAATGTTTTGACCTTTTAAAAGGTCAACATAGGGACTTCTTAAACATGTCCCAAGTGAAACGCTCGTTCAATAATGTATCGATATAGATCATAGAACCCCATATACACATTAAATTACACTGCCCTCTTCCCAACCCAATCTGGCATCATAGCTACAGCCTTTCAATTGGTCTAGCATTAAGCATAGCCAGCTGACAATTGGAAAAGAGTAATGAGCGCAAGTAAACGGAAAAAAAACCGACTTTGTTGAAAAATCGATTTTTCGAAACTCAAAGAGAAAATAGATGCCCCTTAAGCTCTTTGAATTTCTAGAAAAACTTATGATTGGCGCTTTTTTGCTAATATTAACCAACCCAATTTGAGAAAACTGGATCAATAAGTAACGTTTTTATTCCGCTGAAAATCTGAAATTAAATTCAACTTTCAGAACTAGAATTCTTTCACATTTTTTCGCAACTGATTGGTTTTTCGAAAAACACAGAGAAAAATTCATGACAATGAAGCTCTTTTAAATTCATTAATTGTTTCTGTTTACACTTTTTCTGAAAACTAACCCATTTAGAGGGATCATAGCGTAATTTTTTAATCGGCTGGAAATTCAAAAAAATTGAAGTCTGGTTTGAAATTAGAAGTGATTCACGTTTTTCGAGCTCTTAACAACAAATAATTCTTAACAAAAAAAACCATCACGACCTATCAAGTGTCTTCACTACCCTCATTTACACTTAATAATGAAAAGCAACTTTTGAAACTTTAGTAAATCTGTATTTTTCAGAACATTTGCTTTTTTGTTGTTGGAAAGCGATTTTTGGCTTCCATTTATCAACTTTCGAACAAAAGTCAAAATTCACACCGTTAAAGGAAGACGTGCGCGTGAACAATTTTTATTAATTCACTTGATAAACTTTACCTAAAAAATAATTACCACTTAATTTCATTCATTGAAACTTCATAATTATTGATTTATTTTACATTGTACCATTTGGCATAATATTAATCCCACTTCTTTCATAATTTCAACACACATATTCTTTAGTCTAGTATTGATATTTATTTCCATCTTTCAGAGTAACTTTTCTCTTTAGCCTGCAAAAACCTCCAGCCTGCACAAAAAAATAAACTTGCGTAGAAAATTTAAGCTATAATTTGTTTAAAATATTCCACAAGCGAGGCGGAGCTTCATGCCACTTGCAATACATCACAACTAGCCGGCAACAAAATGAGACGAAAGCCGCATGAGTAGATGAATGGAAAAATTATTACCAATACAATGAGTACACATTCAAGACAACCTGTAGTTAGTTATTACTAATAGTGACCAGTAGTTCAATTTTAATGTTCCAGAAATTGAGTATGTTGGTACAAATAAAAGTTGTTTGTCAGAAAAAGTCTTTGTACCGATTTGGCAACGCCTGCTAGCTGCAAGCATAAATAAGCATTTGAATTTTTACATCTGTTTAAATGATAGATCATTTCAGTATATATTTATCTCAACTAATCATAATAACTTTCCGCGACAAAGATTGATCAGGGTATCATTCCTAACTTTCGCGTCTTTACGCCGTCATGTTTTTACGGTTTGACTATTACCATTCTAATTTCCCGTTCTGTATCCCAGAAGATCGCAAAATTGACAGTTGACTGGACATACATTTTTCTCGGATCTCCAGTTGTAAAATATAGCAATCCTGAGTGCTATAGACTGGTTTTTTCGAGTCTGATGAATAAACTTGGAACGTGACAAGTATCAGTCAGTACACGTACTATCCATGACATCTATTGTGCTAATGAGTACGACTGTTACATATGTCCATTGTATATATGGAGGATATGGGGGTGGTGATTAGTTAGAGGGTTAGTTGTGAGCACAGGCAGTCGGGTCCACAGAGGGGACAGTGTCCATTCTGGCCCTGTTCGGAGGAGAACCACTGCTGCATGTGGCTGTGGTGTCCCCCATGGCCACACTTGAAGCACACACAGAACAGACCTTTCACCTGTGACACACAACAAAACACTATGAACTGCAATTGATTTTGTGTGATAAAAAGTTTCATTTGGACAAATGAAGAGATTTATTTTCAACTAGCCCATGACTCGCACCTACCGTAATACTAATAGGTCAACGATTTATAAGTCAACTTTTAAGTTATTTTTCAGCAACTCAAAAACAGGAGCCTAGAAAGGCCGCAAGCATACAACTGCACTTTTCATTGTTATTTAAGAAAATTCAAATATCATAGAGTTTAGAATTTCAAATTGTAAGATTCTGACGCCAGACTTCCAACCTTTAATTGTACCCTAAAAGCACCCCACCATAATGTTGCGATTTTCAAGTTTTTTTTCCAGTCTAAGTTTCTTGGAAAAAAAGACAAAACCAAAAACGCCAAATCTCGAATGCCACCCTGACAATCTCTTAGACCACCCTGACAGTACCCCAATATAGGCTTGGAACCTTCAAATTTTGTGAAAATTTTCAACCTGTTTTAAGATAACTTTCGAAAAAACTCAAAATCGGCATATCTCGGTAACTACACGGATTTTGACATTCATTATTGGAGGCCATATTCACAGACCGAGGGAGGCAAATCACCGTCATTAGGTTGAGAAATTCAAATTTGATGAAACAAATAGTGAAACAAAAATATTGAAAGCTAGCGTTGCGAAAATAGGAAAAATGAAGCACTTGCGCTCAAACCGATTTTAAAACTTCGACTTGAGTAAAAAGTTTAACCTTTGCAATGTTTTGACTTTTTAACAGGTCAACATGGGACTTCTTAGACATGTCCCAAGTGAAACGCTCGTTCAATAATGTATCGATATAGATCATAGAATCCCATATACACATTAAATTACACTGCCCTCTTCCCAACCCAATCTGGCATCATAGCTACAGCCTTTCAATTGGTCTAGCATTAAGCATAGCCAGCTGACAATTGGAAAAGAGTAATGAGCGCAAGTAAACGGAAAAAAAACCGACTTTGTTGAAAAATCGATTTTTCGAAATTCAAAGAGAAAATAGATGCCCCTTAAGCTCTTTGAATTTCTAGAAAAACTTATGATTGGCGCTTTTTTGCTAATATTAACCAACCCAATTTGAGAAAACTGGATCAATAAGTAACGTTTTTATTCCGCTGAAAATCTGAAATTAAATTCAACTTTCAGAACTAGAATTCTTTCACATTTTTTCGCGCCATTTTCACATTAGTATTTGGAGAGTTCTATTTACTTCCAGCAGATCAATTTCAATTGAACTCAAAAAATGCATATATAACATAAAGGCATTAATATCTATGAAAGCACATCTGTAGTTATTTGAGTACTTTAAGACTTTTCCTGAAAAAAAAAATACACCAAGACCTATATAAGAGTCTTCATTTCGGTCATTACTCTTGGTGAACTGGAAAACCGACAAAATAAACAAGCATAAAATCTATCGTTAAACATGCAAAATTATTACGCTGAAAAAAATTAACCATGTCAACACAGGGACATCTTAAACATGTCACGTGGAACATCAAATAAAAAGTAGATAGATGACGTATATTTCTCATCTTCCTCGCGCTAAATTTCTTTTAGGGTACCGACGAGAGATTTTAAAAATATACGGAGTAGAAAGACGATAAGGGTTGGGATACTTTTTTGAGCAGCCAAACCATGTTACCTTTCTTTGATTCACAAATACAAAAGATTTGCAGTGCGAGTCAATAGACAGGAAGAATTTGTTCTTTCAGGCAGAAATTACGATCTCGCATTCCTCTCGCCGTCAATCAAATGATCTAATTTTTCAATAAAAAATTTCTCTATTTCGCCCTATTCCTGTAAGTATATACTCAACAAGTTTTAGCTTTGAAACAATTTTACTTGCCTCCCTCCGACAAATCACACACTGAAAGTCACTGTTCATAGTTCTCTTGGGCGAATCCAAGACAGTGATGCTGGGCGACTTCGGTACATCCGCACTTTCACACTTCGTCAAGTACCTATTTGAAACACGAGGAACCGTACTCAAATTAACTGCCATTGAGTTTCTGTTGGGCACTATGACATTCGGTTCACTTCCGCGGTACCTAGCAGCTGCTGTTTGGTTGAACGTCTCTAACATGTGCTTTGAATGTATTAAACTGGCGTCGTTAAACGAGGGAGACTGGAAAACACCTCCTGCTTTTTTCGTCACCTGACTTTTAGTGTCTGCTATGGTTTGTGGTGCGTCACATACTTTAAACTCGACCTTGAATAGATCTGTGTAATCGACTTCATTTGAAACAAGCGGGCCTGACATCACTGGTTTTGTGAAAACTGATCCGCGGTTGGCGACTTTCGAATGCGTTCTCATGGTCTTGACCAACTCACTTCTCTGAACGTAAAACTCCCATCGGTAGAGAATGTCGGCATACATGCCTTTGAAGATGTCATATCTAGACTGCTGCTTGGAGTCCAAACAAGTTGTGTCCAACTCGTAAGGCGGATCTGTAACAACGTCGACTTCATAAGCATTCACGTTGGCGTGTTTGTGTTCACTTTTCGTAGTGTTAAGATGAGAATAGGGCAAGGTGTCTCCGATGTCAAACGTGATCGACTTTGAGCTTTTAGAGACTGCTGATTGTTTCCGCCTCTCTTCCTTTCTACTTTGATAATCGTGAAATCTCCTATCATCTGGCGATTCACATAACCTGCCAAGAAAAACCAAAATTGCTTTCCGCATAAATTTTATCGTATAGTGGTCCCAATTGTCATTTAGCCTAGTCTTAGGACAGACACCTGTACAGAATGATTTAAGTAAAATCAGGGAATGAATTGACTAATTTAAACTCAACCCAGTGGCATGCGCAGAAATTTTTCTGGAGGGGCGTGATGAGGGAGCGGTTTTTCAAAAAAAAAACTGTTGTGTGTCGAGCTAACGGAAACTACTACAAGGACCGTAATTTGTGAAAAATTTTCGCGCCGCAGGCAAATTTTTGAAAAACAGGCTAATTAAGTTCTGAGCACTTTAGAAAAAATTGACCGAAAAATTATGTTTATTCAGCGCGGGCTTCCCCCTCAAATTTAGTTATATTGGCGCCAAAAATGGATCTTGTAAAATTATTTCAGAGGGGGACTCTTTGGAAACATTTGGCAACCAGAATTGAGGGGGAGTACTGATTCCGCAACTTGGTATACAGTAAAATATGCCAGTATTAAGGCGTAAAAAACCTTGAATTACTTTTAATTTTCAAATTACAAAATTGGCACCTTCCAGCTAATCTTGAGAAATTTAATTCAGGCAAAAATTATTGCGTAAAAATGAAATCAGTTTTTTTAACAATTTTTGCAATCAGATAGAAAACAGTTGTTAAACTGTCAATGAACTCAATGAGACTGAAAAGTTAAATAATTGAAGAATCATATATGGCTGAACTTTTATTTGATAATATCAAGAATCATTTATGATTTTGATTTTAAAACTAAAACATGCTAAGTTGGGAAAACTAAATAAGTAACTGTAATGTAGCTGAATAGATCATATAATGTAATATACTTCGACATCGAAACTTTCCTATCTATAATTGAAGAGTTCAAGTTATGTTAAATATTTGCAGATGACGCATCTATTAACTGCACATTGAAGTAAACCACTTCGGCCGAGTCCACCAAAAGATCAAGTGCTACAATTAAAAAGATAAATTTGGTATTTTCTACCTGAATTTTAGTACAAAAAGAACAATGCAAGAGCCTTACCGCAAAGCTATCTGATAATAGCTATGTTTTAATTCCGCTGCGATTATTTAAAATAGAGGCGAAGAGGAGCTTCGCACCACTTGCGATTTAACACAAACAGAAAAACATTAGTCGAAAAAATGAATAACGTTGAAAATAGCGCCGATCATCTTTGAGCAGACACCTGTTGAGCCGAAAAACTAACTGATTTAATAAAAAGTTTCGAGTCTATCTCCCTGAATCAACAAAGAACAACGCGCACTTGCATTGAAAGTTGCCTACAAGATAAACAAGATTTGTGATGTGGCAACCGAGCCCACAAAAGTTTAGCAGACTAAGGAACCCAACAATTCAATTTTTACCGCAGTTTTTTTTTCAATTGCATGCATACTGCAAAAAAAACAAGGTCAATCCGAGATTAGAAGTGGGAAGACCACGTGGGAAGAAACCTGGAGACTGCAAAGTTCAATAAAAAAAAGTTGAAGAAAAGTTGAAACGTAAAAAAGCTGAAAGGTAGGAATTTTTTTTACGTTTCAACTTTTCTTCAACTTGTTTTTTATTGAACCTTGCAATTTCCTCACAACAACGCAATATAAGTTCATTATGTCATGAAATATTAGCTGAAACCGCTTAATAAATTTTTTTTTACGTTTCAACTTTTCTTCAACTTGTTTTTTATTGAACCTTGCATTTCCCTCACAACAAGGCAATATAAGTTCATTATGTCATGAAATATTAGCTGAAACCGCTTACTAAAAAAACTACAAATCCGAAAAAAAAACATTTTTCAGGAAAATTATTTGAAAACAAATTAACGCCGGAAACTGACTACCGCTGTTTATTACTTAAAGGAAGGTAGTATTATTTGACTTTTCAAGAAACTGAGCATGTCTAAAATTTACCATTCCTTTACATCTGACCATTCTGTGCCTAAAGTTCCGTTATTTTCGTCTAATACCTGATTGAAATACACTTGCTTATCACAAGGATAAAAATTAAAATCCACTTCAAAACAAGAAGTCGTTCACATTTTTGCGTCATTTGCACTTTCGTTGCAGGAAGAAAAATTTGCCTACCTTTCAGCTTATACATTTGAATTTAACTTAAAATTGAAAAAATGAACATTATTGAGCATAAATAAACGTCTGTTTATATAAAGAAAACTTGAAGACATTTTTCTAGAAAAAATAACGACAAAAAAATAACACGAAACATATAAGTGTGTTCAGTAAGTTCATTGTTAATGAACTCAAGGAAACCGAACAAACTGAGGTAATAATTTTGAAAAAAAAAGAAAAAATACAACACGTTAAAGCTCTTTATGATTGACGCTTTTTTTCATAAAACTTGCCCAAAAAAGTTAAATAATTCAAAATGTAATTGTTTTATTTCACTGAAAATTCTAAGAATCAAAATCCACTAAAATCCACTTAAAAAATATTCACTTTTTTGCGCCATTACCAATGCTATAATTGTAGAGCGTAACTTGGCTTGTTCCAGCAAATGAACTTGAATAAAACTTGAATTTGAACTGAACTTGATTTTGTTTATTTGATTTTGCTGCAATTGGATAGCTTAATTTGCTTTTTTTAGCAAATGAATTTGATTTCAACTTAAAAAGAACTCAACAAGTGAACCTTCGGAAACAAATTTGAACAAATTTCAAGATTTCTTCCTGATAAAAAACGACTTGACCTCATGTTGAGTGCCTTGATTTCATTCATTGACACTCTATAACCGTTTGTGGACAAGTTCTGACTTATTTATCTGATTTATCTCGTGGCAACTGATAAGCGTGCTGAAATAGCTTAGGCACAGAAGCGCCAGTCACAGGTGGCCTTGCATAATTCACCTCTATTAGTACCAGACTAAAGTGAGGAGCAAATGATGAGTAATTACAGAGACTAGCATTGAGAAAGCACTTAAGTGTGAGGACAAAATAAATGCCTCCAAACTGATACAGTAGCAAATTTACCTCTATAATTAGGTAATAACATGTGATTTGTATGGATCTCTTTTGTAATAAACCTCTAAAGTTTACCGTTACCATTAACATATTATTCCTCACAACAGTATCAACAGTTTGAATGCCAATTTTGATTGAGCCAGCAAATAGTCTGTTTCAAGCAATAAAAACAACTGCGAATTTAAGAATTTTTGCCGTTTAATCCACTTCCGTTTTTAACCATTTCATTTATGTTTCGAAAAAAAATTCTAAGAAGCTAACCAGGCGAACAAACAAAAACTAACTGAGATAGCTCGAAATGCTCTCCCACAGTCAGATCGTCCCTTTTGAACTGTTCCGGGAACTCCACACTACACACGGACACTTTCGGCTGTTTCTTCTTGAGAGACGGCGATGACATCGAGGTTTCCAACTCCAGCTCTGGACTTCCCGTTTTAACTTCACTCATGTCTGGTTTAATATATGTTACAGTTTCAGAAACCAAGTGATCCGATGATGACTGACGACACGACTGCTCTGTTTTCTTATCAAATTTTGTCTCAAAAAGAACACTTACTATCATTGCCACTGTTTGTATATCACAAACTTTGAGATAATACTCGACGTAGTGCTCTACAAGTGGTCTTCCAAGAGGAAACGTCGACATCAAAAACGCGTCTTGTACTCCCGTTTCAAACTGATGCATTAGATTGCTCACACTCGACAAAACATCCCACAAATTAGCCAGATCCATTTTCCCAAACTTGGAGCAGAGGTCTCGGTTGTACTCGCAAATTTCAGTTCTCGAGAGCTCTTCCGAGAACACTTTATAATCACGTGCAAGCACTGGGTCTACTGCAAACAACTGCGGAACTTCCTGACAAATGACTGAAATTTGGGTGAACTTGAGCGCTGAATTTCGAGAGTTGTAATAATCAGCTAGACTAGAGGGTGTCTTCTTGTCTGCAGTTGGTAAGATGTTGTACTGTTTCTGTTGCTGCACAGATTGGGTGAAGATAACTAATCTACCGGCAGAAAAACGCCCACCTAAACCGAATGATGTAATTACAAATAATAAACATTTTGACGGAAATTGTTCCTTTATTTCATGGAGAGCTGTGAATAATTAACAACCATTTCAAAAACAATCAAATGGACATTAAATCTCTTTTGATACAGAACATCGATGATTTACGACATAAAAAAAACTACATCTCCGTTTACGAAAGAACCAAAGCCTACCAATTTTTTTCGCCTCAAGCTTAAGCTTATATCTAAAAGCAAACATATCAACGCTACAGCGAAGTTTTATTTTTCATGCACAACTAAATTAAGGTGTAAAAAACCTACAGATGAAATCCGGCTACGAGTGAAAGAAATGAGATGACATGCTTGTATCTAGTCACAAAAGTACATCACCATAACTAACTATTAGATTCCTATGGGGTTTAGATCTAGTGAAGGTCAGTCTAACCACGACATTCACTCTCACATTTCTGCTTGGACGACGGACATCTAACATTATGCATATGAACTGCATCGATAGGTCAAAACAATTCGCGCACAAGCAAAAAGATTAACCATGCAAAGACTGGTTAAGTTAAAAAAATAATATAAAAACAAAAAGCAGCCGGTTACTGTTTTGATAGGAACAAAATATTCCCATCACAGTATCTAGGACACTGTTTACCCCGATTTTTCGATGCATTTTTGGTTCTTTCAATAAATTTTGTTTCTGCAAGCCTTTATAGTAAACATGAACGTCAGCGAAAGGATAAACATGTTATTTATGTCGTGAAATACAATGGAGTTACATTTGCATTAGCCCATTGGATATTCTTTCCGCATTTCCACTGAGGAGCTCCTGATACTATGCTTTTCGGCAATGGTTCTTTGTGTTTTTTTTTGCATCTTTTCCCGATCTCCGATGTCTTCAACTTTTGTCGTCCTCTATAGGGTTCATATTGGCTCCTTCCTAGTCCCCTCGTAAAATTAAAAAAAAAGATTATAATCTCGCCATCAAACTATAACTGCAAAAATTTCAAATCTTAACATGGATTCTAGTTTTCAATTCAAATACTGATCTCGTGTTCTTTGCTGCAATAAACCAAATACGAGACTGCTCGTATTAGGGCAAAGCCCAGAATGTTCCGACTGCCCTCAAATTGGTCTATTTAACTATGGAGTTAATAAACCCAATTAGCTGCCTCAATTCAACTTCAAACGATTTTGTAGTGCGGGATACAAAACAAACAGTTTAAGACATACTCATGGCAGGTTAATATAGTGGTGTGCACATTCGGCTGGCCCCATGCAGATCAAGAGATCGATTCTTGAGGGACCAGAGGTTTAGAAAGGCTCTGAAAAAAAAACACCCCGAGCATTAATTTTCCTCACTTTCTTCGAAAATCGTAAGAATAATATGTCTTTACAGTATTGATTTAAATTACCCGGACGAAACGCTTTAAGCTAGAAAATTAGAATGCATTTTTATCAAATTGGGTTGACTTTAGTTTAAAAAATGATGAAGAAAAAACTTGCATAGAATTTCAGCTGAATTAATATGGAGCAAAATGTCTCTACAGAATTGATTTAAATTATCCGTACGACACGCTTTAAACTAGAAATTTAGAATGCATTTTTCTCAAATTGGGTTGATTTTAGGTTAAAAAAATTTAAAAAAAACTTAACAGCTGAATTAATATGGTACAATTTGTTTTGCGAAACTCGGGCCCAAAATTTTACCACAAAAATGGGTCATTTTTGTCTTTTTTAGTCAATCAAAACATAGACCAAAACTACTTAGGCCAATCACTGACAAATTTATATCAAAAAGAGCCTCTAACGTAACCCAACAATCTTTTAAAAAGGTATAATCTCCAAAAAATTGCGCAAATACTTTAAAAGTGATTTTAAAATTTAAAAAATTGGTGTTTTATATAGTAAAAAGAACCTAGTTTGTCTATCAAATAAAAATTAGTTAATTTATACAATGGTTTGGAGATTATGCCTTTTTAAAATTTTTTTGAGTTACGTTGGAGGCTCACTTTGATACACAAAGGCGAAACGGAGCTTCGCACCACTTGAGATACGACACAAACAAAAAAGCTCCGAAAAAAAAATTGAAATATTGAAAAAACTAAGTGAACCAAAATGTCTCGACAAAAAATAACTAGGGGCCCAGTTAAAGCTGGATGCTTGTGTTCGATATTAAATGAATTACTGATGCGGCACGAAAAATGAGATGAAAAAAATTGGACAAAATTTCTGTTTCAACAAGTTAAGAAATCGTAGGAACAATTATCGCAACCGCTTTTCAATTGAACTTTTCATCTCAGATTTGATTGAGTAAACTTTAAGAAAACTCAAACCTTTCTAAAAAACGGTTTACAGTTCTAAAAAATGGTCAGAAGATTTTCCAAAAACCATATTTTTTTCTTCAAAAAGCAGGATGTGGCCGCTTAAGCAGAGAGGATTCCCAAAACCGGGTTTCTCGATTGAACACAACCTGCGAATTGGCACGGTAGTTATCGCGTAAAGTCAAATAGTTTCCAAAAAATTGCCAAAGCTTCCTATTGTAGAAAAACGTAAGCAAAATGGGCATAGCCAATTATAAAGGAAGGCTTTCAACAGCTTGTTGTTTCGATTAAACCTAAGATAACAGATTTGACAGAATAAATAGCGAGAAAAGTGCAAAAAACGGTCAACAAATCAAAAGTTTTACAATTCCGAGAATCATAACTTTTTGTGTGAAAAAATAGGGAGTAGCCGCTTACGCAGAAGGGATTCACGCAACCTGTAATTTCGATGGAAATCAAAATCTCAGATTTGGGAGGGTGTTCTCGAGAAAAGTCAGAAACTTCGAAAAACGGCGAAGAAATCAAAACTTTGATTTTTCTGAGTGCCATAACTTTCGGTGTCAGAAAAATTTGAACGCAGTCGCATAAACAAATTAGCTTACCGCATTCCGTTATTTGAATCGAACCCAAATCTCACATAAGGCAGGGTAGTTCCGAGAATAATCAACAAGTTTACGAAACGGTCAAAAAATCAAATAATTGACTATTCCGAGGGCCATAAATATTGAGTGTTGAGAAAACTTGGGCTAGCCGCTTATGCAGTGAGTTTGTCAAAAATGTTCTATTCATTGAAACCAAAAACTCCGATTGAGAGGGGTAATTTTTGAGAAAACAATTATTTTCCATAACAACAAAAAAAGAAACTACCACCATACTACCAAATTGAAAATTGCGGAGGGGAGTGGTAAAAATGTCTTTCCCTAAAGACGACCCAAAATTAAGCCATTAAGACGAAAAAATTTGGGTCGAGGAACTTTTTTCGGGAAACAAATAAATAAAAGAAGGAAATATGAAGTCAAGGAAAGAAAAAGTACAAATTGTAGGAGTAAATCAAACAATGAAAGCAACATTTAAAAAAATGCTCGCAGCAAAACAAAAACGGTTCTTCCAAGATGTAACAACCAAGCCGACAACAGGTAAGCAGACAAATAATTGGCCGACAAATTTATTTGAAACAGAATTTTCCAGTTTGAAAAAAAGTCCCTGGACAGATTCGAACCCAGGACCTTTGCCGTCTCAGGCATACTCGTTATCTCCAGGCTAAGTTGGCTGTGAACGGATAGAAGTTTGAATTTTTTATGTAACAAGATATAAGTGATTCAAGTGATTCTGTTAAACATGTTAATAACCCGAAAAAAGTCTACATTCCAGTTTGATAATGTCGGTAATCTACCCAATGGTTTTGGCGTACTTTTTGATTGACAAAAAAAGCCAAAATATATTCACTTTTGGGGTGAAATTTAGCTCCCGAATTTCGCGAAAAAAAATGCACCATATTAAATCTGCTGAAATTCTAAGCACGTTTTTTCTTCATTTTTTCCTGAAGTCAACCCAACTTGATAGAAAAGCGCCTTTTAATATTTTAGTTTAAAGCGTTTTGTCCTAATATTTTAAATCAGCACTGTATTTTAATACTAAAGTGTAGCAGAGCTTCACACTTTGCTTTACAACTATTAGGATGGAGCAAAACTATCATAGTTAAGAACCACTTAGACAGAGGCGGGGATGCACTTCTCAAGCACATGCACAACATTGGTAAAGGGAGATTTCAAATGGCAAAATTCAAAGTAAATCTATTAAATCTGAAAAAGGAATCAGCCGACCACAGGATTCAAAACAAGGACCGATGTTCTATAATGTATTCGTTATCGTGACTGTGCTAATTGTCCAAGCTGCCTTATAAAATTTATAAATGTTCGACCAAGAAATCAGTTTTCTAGCATCCAAATTACAAGACTGCTCGTATCAGGGCGAAGCCCTGAATGTTCCGACTGCCTTTTAATGTTTAATGAAATGTAATAAAATGGAGAAAAAAATTCTAAAATTTGAAATTTTTTTATGAAAATCATCCCCCCACACGCCATATAAAGTACAAAAGGATAGATTTCGCTCCTTGTAACAAATCAATTATAGTAAATAAGCTTCTTCCAACTAATTTGGAACGATTTCTATGACGGATTAAATCTCCGCTTACGCTCACATTGCAAACTATTCCTTGCTTTCCAACAAATTTTTGAAGCTTGGAACAATGATAGCCTTTAGAAACAACGTTATAACACAAAGCTTGTTAGCACGCATTAGAGATAACACTATTAGGCAAACCATGTTTTAGAAGTTTACTAACAAAACTTCAGAAAACTCCAAAAACAACTTTGTAATCACAGAAAGCTACCAACATAGAAAACGGTTAACCACTAATGAATGAACTAATAAGCAATGCCACCAGTCAGTTGGAAAAAAACTATTAAATCAAAGTCAAAACAAGTTATCAATGAATTGAAACTCTCACAAAAGAAAAGAAATTATGGCCTACAGCTCTTTGAATTTCAGAAATCTTTAACAATTGACCCGTTAAGTTTTTTATTGCGCTGGAAAATTGGTAAAATTGTAAACGAATTTCGAAGTTGAAAGTCAATCATCTTTTTGTTAGTCAAATCCATTTCCGTAATTGGAGAGCATGATTTTCTT